TATTCTTCTTATTTTTCTTCGTCTTCTTCTTCTTCTTCTTCGTATTATTATTCTTCTTCTTCTTTTTCGTATTCTTCTTCTTATTATTATTCTTCTTATTCGTCTTCTTCTTATTCTTCGTATGCTTATTCTTATTCTTCTTCTTATTATTATTATTCTTCTTTTTCTTATTCTTCCTCCTCCTCCTCCTACGCTCCAGCTCCTCTATCATCATCCTTCATCCTCACTCCTCCTCCCTCTCCTTCCTCATCCTACTCCATCCCCTCCTCCCTCCTCCCTTCCTCCTCCTTACTCCTCCTCCTCCTACCACTCCCCTCTTTGCCCCATCCCCACTGCCCCTCCCCCTCCCCCTCCACTCCTCCTCCTCATCATCCTCCTCCTCCTCCCTCCTCCTTCCTCTCCTCCTCCTCATCTCGCCATTGCTCTCCCCTCCCCCTCCATCCTCATTCCTCCTCCTCATATGCCTCATCCTCCTCCTACTCCTCCTCGCCATCCCCCTCCACCCCTCCTCTCCCTCCTCCCATCTCTCCTCCTCCTCCTCCTCCTCCTCCTCCACCTCCTCCCTTCATCATATCACCCCTCATACTCATCTCCTCCTCCTCCTCCTCCTCCTCCTCCTCCTCCTCCTCCTCCTCCTCCTCCTCCTCCTCCTCCGCCTCCCCGTCCTGGCTTCGTTTTCGTACCTGGAGCTCGGGCCCGCGCCAGTCCGAGCCGGTTTTTTAAGGCGCCGGTCTGGGTCTGGTTTTTAAGGCGCCTTTTTTGTAACTGGGGAGGGTCCGGTATATGAGGGCGATTTCCTTGGATTGGAGCTTAGGGGGTCCCGTGTATCAAGGCGCCCCGTCGAAGAAGGGGGTCCAGACTATGAGGTCGCATTTGGAGAGGGGTCCGGTTTTTTTTGGGGGGGGTCGATTAATCAGGGATTTGAAGCAGGACGAAGCCGGGATGGGGTCGGGCATGTCTCCCTACGGAAGGGTCGTGTCGTGCCGACTTCGGCGCTGGTCTCTGACACCGCGGGGGTCGTTTAGCCTTGAACGGTCGGCC